GTATTCTGACAATAATAGATACCCTACTCTCTAGTACCTGAATGTTAATTGGCTGTGGCAGGAAACATCAAATAATGTTAAAGCTGTCATTTATATGGCTGCAGTATGCATTGGACTGTTTGTTGGATTTTTTTTGTTGTTGTTGTTGTTTTTGGAGACTGAGCCTCACTCTGTTGCCCAGGCTGGAGTGCAGTGGCACCATTTCAGCTCACTGAAAACTCCACCTCCTGGGTTCACGCAATTCTTCTGCCTCCTGTGTAGCTGAAATTACAGGCGTCTGCTACCACATCTGGCTAATTTTTTGTAGTTTAGTAGATACAGGGTTTTTACCACGTTGGCCAGGCTGGTCTCAAACTGTTGACCTCAGGTAACCACCCAGCTTGGCCTCCCAAAGTTCTGGGATTACGGGCATGAGCCACTGCTCCCAGCCAGATTGTTTTTCAATTTTCTAATATGGCTATGCATGTTCCCTTTGCATGTTGTCTCTCTCAATCCTTGGATTTTTTTCGACCTTCTAATTGATTTCCATGCTTAGGCATTAAACTATGTTGACCAAATTCATAATTTTTTTTTTTTTTTTTTTTTTGAGGAGGAGTTTCGCTCTTGTTACCCAGGCTGGAGTGCAATGGTGCGATCTCGGCTCACTGCAACCTCCACCTCCTGGGTTCAGGCAATTCTCCTGCCTCAGCCTCCCGAGTAGCTGGGATTACAGGCACACGCCATCATGCCCAGCTAATTTTTGTATTTTTAGTAGAGACCGGGTTTCACCATGTTGACCAGGATGGTCTGGATCTCTTGACCTCGTGATCTACCCGCCTCGGCCTCCCAAAGTGCTGGGATTACAGGCTTGAGCCACCGCGCCCGGCCCCCCAAATTCATAATTTTTATATGTATCTGTTTCCTATGTTAATGTCATAAATTTTTTTCCAGAGAACCCTTGTATGTGAGAGGGGGAAAAACACATTTTCTGTTGAAATAAGGTTTAGAAACATCCAAGTCTCCAAAAACTTTAGTGTTTTCAGTGATTAACTCCAGCTGTTATTATACTTTAGACTTTTCTGTTAGCCCTTCTCTGAATGGGGAGAGGGAGGAGAGAATATAAAGAAGGTTAACATGTATTATTAGAATCCGGGAAATCCCTAGTGTGTGACGTCAGTAGTCCAGACTTGCATACAAATACAATGCAGTTCATGAGGCTTTTGGTAAAAGATTATTCAGGCCCCGATTGCAGTGCCTCCTTTCTTCTAAATTCATATGTTCAAACCCTGCTACATTTCAAGGCTTAAATTTCATCCAATAGTAAGCTGTCTTAATTAGTCACTTTTTTTTTTTTTTTTTTTTGAGGCAAAATCTTGCTGTGTCGCCCAGGCTGGAATGCAGTGGTGTGATCTTGGCTCACTGCATCCTCTGCCTCCTGGGTTTAAGCAATTCTGCCTCAGTATCCCAAGTAGCTGAGACTACAGGTGCATGCCACTACACCTGGCTAATTTTTTGTATTTTTAGTAGAGAACAGGTTTCAATGTGTTAGCTAGAATTGTCTCGATCTCCTGACCTTGTGATCCGCCTGCTTCGCCTTCCCAAAGTGCTGGGATTACAGGCATGAGCCACCGTGCCCAGCCACCTAGTCGATTTTTATTGTCTATAGTTAGTTAAATTCTGGAGTCTCCTAGGATGATTTCTATTTTTTTTTTTTTTTTTTTTTTTTGAGACGGAGTTTCGCTCTTGTTACCCAGGCTGGAGTGCAATGGCGTGATCTCGGCTCACCGCAACCTCCGCCCTTTGGGTTCAGGCAATTCTCCTGCCTCAGCCTCCTGAGTAGCTGGGATTACAGGCACGCGCCACCATGCCCAGCTAATTTTTTTGTATTTTTAGTAGAGACGGGGTTTCACCATGTTGACCAGGATGGTCTTGATCTCTTGACTTCGTGATCCACCCGCCTCAGCCTCCCAAAGTGCTGGGATTACAGGCTTGTGCCACCGCGCCCGGCTGATTTCTTTTTTTCAAACAGAGTCTCGCTCTGTCTCCCAAGGTGGAGTGCAGTGGCGAGATCTCGTCTCACTGCAACCTCTGCCTTCCAGGTTCAAGTGATTCAGGTTCAGCCTCCAAAGTAGCTGGGACTACAGGCCTGCGCCACCATGCGCAGCTAAGTTTTGTATTTGTTGTAGAGACACGGTTTCACCACGTTGGCCAGGCTGTTCTTGAACTCCTGGCATCAAGTGATCCACCTGCTGTGGCCTCCCATGAAGTGCTGGGATTACAGGTGTGAGCGACCCCATCTTGCCTCCTAGGATACACAGACCCATTAGACCAATTGGACCTTTCATTAGGATAATTGAGAAGGGTTTTGGGGTGATTATGATAGAAGACTTTATTGGTGTTTTATTTTCTACCCAGTATGGTGAAGAGGGTGGACACATTTCTTTTAATAAAGGAGGAGAAAATGAAAACTGGTTGGTCCTTACTGCTGCTTTTACCTGTTAAACAATTTCTTTGAAGGTTGTTTTATTTGCATTTGATAAAGGAAGTGCGATTAACGTTTCATGTCTTATTTTAGATACTGAAACAAGAATGGCCGAAACATTGGCCAACTTTTATTAGTGATATCGTTGGAGCAAGTAGGACCAGCGAAAGTCTCTGTCAAAATAATATGGTGATTCTTAAACTCTTGAGCGAAGAAGTATTTGATTTTTCTAGTGGACAGATAACCCAAGTCAAATCTAAGCATTTAAAAGACAGGCAAGTAATAATTATGTTTTAGAATTTTAAAGTAATTTCTCAAACAATTTCAAGCAATTTGGATGTATATTGTAGGTGTTTTAAGGAACTATGATCAGTAATACATTCTGTTGTTTATAGTGGTTTTCAATTACAAATTAAGAAATAGTCCTAGACTGGGCCTAATAACTACCTCTGGAGGTTGAAAAGTGAATTGTTCAAGATACACTTAAGGATTTGATTTGTATGATAACTAATTAATAGGTTCTAAGCTAATGATTCGTGTCCAAACATTCAAATTAGTTATTTTATGAGAAAAGTCTCACTCTGTTGCCTGGGCTGGAGTGCAGTAGCTCAGTGTTTAAATAGAAGATATAATTCTGCTGAGAGAGAGCAGATAAATATAGTCACATCTTTAATTACCAGATGCTTGAAATTTCAATCTTTTTTTTTTTTTTTCCCCCTTGAGAGATGGGGGGGTCTCGCTAGGTTGCCCAGGCTGGTCTCGATCTCCTGGGCTCAAGCAAGTTCTCTTGCCATGGTCTAAAATTCTGGGATTACCGGCATGAGCTACTGTACTGGGTCTTAATCATTTTTATTAGTATTGTACATAATTTATTTCTGTGTCTTCTAAAACTGATATGTATTTTTTTTAGCATGTGCAATGAATTCTCACAGATATTTCAACTGTGTCAGTTTGTAATGGTAAGCGTTTTTAATTTCATTTTTTAAAATAACAATAATATGAAAGCAATTATTTACAAGTATGTTTTGTTGTAGGAAAATTCTCAAAATGCTCCACTTGTACATGCAACCTTGGAAACGTTGCTCAGATTCCTGAACTGGATTCCACTGGGATATATTTTTGAGACCAAATTAATCAGCACATTAATTTATAAGGTACAGTGAATACATTTCAGTTATTTGTCAATGGATAGCCACATATATTCTTTTCACATGTAAAGCTCTCATCTCTGCATTCAAAACCATATTTAACTTTGTTTCTAACATGAGGAAACTGCTCAGAAGAAAGTTTTTGTATTTACACCTAGTAAATTATTTGAAGTGAGTCTCAAATGTAATTTTATGAATTCATTTAGAACAAATAATGGATTTGATAATATTGCTTTTTTTTTTTTTTTTTTTTTTTTTTTGTGATGGAATCTCATTGTATCACCTAGGCTGGAGTACAGTGGTGCAATCTTGGCTCACTGAAACCTCTACCCCCCAGTTTCCAGCAATTCTCCTGCCTCAGCCTCCCAAGTAGCTGGGATTAGAGGTACCCTCCTGTAACTATTTGTATTTTTAGTAGAGATGGGGTTTCCCCATATAGGCAAGGCTGGTCTCGAACTCCAGACTGCAGGTGATCTGCCTGCCTCAGCCTCCCAAAGTGCTGGCATTACAGGCGTGAACCCCTGCGTCCAGCCCTGTGTTGCCATCTTTTAGTTGAATATATAAGTTACAGTGAGGTAAGTCAAGTACTATTTGTGAAAAATGAAAAGTTAATCTTTTAACTGAAATTTTAAAATTGATGCCATGTTATGTGTTAAGTTATACAGTGGTTTAGCCTGCGAAACATGGTGAAACCGCATATCTACGAAAAATACAAAACTCGCCGGACACAGTGGCTCATGCCTATAATCTGAGCCCTTTGGGAGGCCCAGGCAGGTAGGTCACAAAGTCGGCGATCGAAATCATCCTAGCTAACACGGTGAAACCTCGTCTCTACTAAAATATGAAGAATTAGCTGGGTGTGGTGGCATGCACCTGTAGTCCCAGTTACTTGAGAGGCTAAAGCAGGAGAATTGCTCGAACTTGGGAGGTGGAGGTTGCAGTGAGGCGAACTCATGTCACTCCACTCCAGCCTGGGCAACAGAGCAAGACTCCATCTCACCAAAAAAAGAAAAAAACACTTAGGTGTGGTACATGCCTGTAGTCCCAGCTTCTTGGGAGGCTATGGCAGGAAAATCTCGAACCCAGGAGGCAGATTGCAATGAGACAAGATTTTGCCACTGTACTCCAGCCTGGATAACAGCGACACCCTGTCTCAGAAAAAAAAAAAAAAATTCTACAGTGGTTTGTCCAGAGATAATGACTGTTAGCAATTGGTTGTATTTTCAGATGTTTTCTAAGAATGATGTAATAAATAAATTATCTAATTGGAACATTATAGCTTAACCTCTTCAACTTTGTAGTTTAGAGTTTGGTAACATAATAATGGATTTATGGTATTTGAATGATCAGTTTATTGCTCAATTAAGTTATGTAAAAATATTGGTATTGTTGTGCTCGCTTCGGCAGCACATAAACTAAAATTGGAATGATACAGAGAAGATTAGCATGGCCCTGGGCAAGGATGACACAAATTCGTTAAGTGTTCCATATGTTTTTTTATTAAAAAAATTAAAAAATAAAAATACTGGTATTGTCACCAGTCTTACAGAGTACTTTCTTAGACATAAAAGATTATGCAATTGTCCAAACAGTCACTTTCTTTAAATATTTTAATGTTTCAAGGTGAGATTTGGGTAAGAAAAATATATTTTAATGTATAATTACCAGGTTATTAGCTATGTTAATTTTTAAGGTTTTAATGCCTACTAAATTCCCAACCCTAGATAATTGTTTATTTTATCAACAATAGAATATAAAAGCCAGTTTTCCCACTTTCTTATTACTCTTAGATATAATAACCATTTTCCAAAATCCTAAGCAATCACAAGTTTTAGGTCCTATGTAATTACACAGAAAGTATAATATTCCCAAAAGTCACATCACAGATTCTAAGAAAGTTGTTAAGGAGCCTTGTTATTTTAGACGTCATCAAAAGAAAGCACAGTTTGTATCCTAAAGCAGTTAATGTGTATTGGGTAGGTAATCAAATTTCCTCTCAGTATATCTGTCAGATACAATATGTGCATTTACTTGGCCTGTTTTTGACATCTACTTCTATGTTTAATTGTTAAGTAGTTTTTCCTTTTAATTGTGAATTTTAAGTACAGTGTTTGTCAGGCCAATTAATTTTATGGTTCCCTCCCCTCTTTTAAATAGTTCCTGAATGTTCCAATGTTTCGAAATGTCTCTCTAAAGTGCCTCACTGAGATTGCTGGTGTGAGTGTAAGCCAATATGAAGAACAATTTGTAACGCTATTTACTCTGACAATGATGCAACTAAAGCAGGTAATGTAATACTGTCTTGAAAATTGAACAATTTTAGTGCCTTAGAAAATACTGAATTTCAAATGAGCTATTTTAGAACAACGTGTCATAGATTAGCCATAATGTTATGTTTATTACATAAAATTTATAATGAGCTACAAATTTTTATCATATCTCCAAAAATTTCTTAAAATTCAAGATTGGGGTATGTTGTGGTAATTTATTTCTGCGTAGTTTAGGAGCTTGGTCCTTTGGGAGCGATCTGATCAGACAATGGGAAACCTGGGATCTGTTCCTAACATTGTGTCTGGAGGAATTCTTTTCAGCCTTAGTTTGATTGTTTATCTATTAAATGATCTAGAAGGTTGTTCGTAATACTGTGTTCATGGCCAGGGGTGGTGGTTGACACCTGTAGTCCCAGAACTTAGGAAGCCCAGGATGGGAGGACCAGTTGATGTCAGGAGTTCAAGACTAGCCTGGACACCATAACCAGATCATCTCTATAAAAGATTTAAAGTAGCCAGCTGTAGTGTTGCACATCTGTAGTTCCAGCTACTCTGGAGGCTGAGGCAATAGGATCTCTTGAGCCCATGAGTTCAAAGTTAAAATGAGCTACGGTCACACTACTGCACTGGATGACAGGGCAAGTTCCTGTCTCTTTAAAAAAAAAAAAAAAAAAAAAAAACAAGGAAAGCCCGGGCATGGTGGCTTACGCCTGTAATCCCAGCACTTTGGGAGGCCAAGGCAGGTGGATCACGAGGTCAGCAGTTTGAGACCAGCCTAAACAACATGGTGAAACCCTGTCTCTACCAAAAATACAAAAATTAGCTGGCTATGGTGGCACACACCTGTAGTCCCTGCTACTCGGGAGGCTGAGGCGGGAGAATTGCTTGAACCTGGGAGGTGGAGGTTGCAGTGAGCTGAGATCACACCCACTGCACTCCAGCCTGGGTGAGAGAGTGAGACTTTGTCTCCAAAAAAGGGAAAAGGCTGGGTGAGGTGGCTCACGCCTATAATCCCAGCACTTTGGGAGGCTGAGGCAGGCGGGTCACGAGGTCAAGAGATCGAGACCATCCTGGCCAACATGGTGAAACCCCATCTCTCCTAAAAATACAAAAATTACCTGGGTGTGGTGGCGCATACCTGTAGCCCTGGCTATTTGGGAGGCTGAGGCAGGAGAATTGCTTGAACCCAGGAGGTGGAGTTTGCAGTGAGCTGAGATCACGCCATTGCACTCCAGCCTGGCAACGAGAGCAAAACTGTGTCTCAAAGAAAAAAAGGAAAAGTAGATTATTGTGTATGTTTGTGATCTGAATTAATGGTCTATTTTTGCATTTTCATTGTCAGTGAGAAAGGGATCAGTCCAATAACTTAAAGGCTTTGAATGATCGCGGCCTTACTCGTTGCAATGTATTTATTTGAGAAGAGTAAAAATCTAGGTCTTAGGAATGTAAGAATAGGTATACCAGCCTTAGGAGTTGTGTTTGTGGTTTAATATTAGCAAAGGAGTGTTGGGATCTTAGGGTTTACAAATAATGGCATTGGCTGGGTGCAGTAGATCACACCTATAATCCCAGCACTTTGGGAGGCTAAGGTGAGAGGATTAAAGTTAGCTGGGTATGGTGACAGATGCCTGTGGTCCCAGCTATTTGGGAGGGGCTGAGTTGAGGACTGATTGAGCCTAGTAGTTGGAGGCTGCAGTGAGCTGTGATCATACCACTGCACTCCAGGTTGACAGAGTGAGACCCTGTCTCAAAAGTAATAATAAAAGAGTCTTTTGTCGTTTTATAAAATGCAAACTGTCCCTTTTTAAATTTGCAGATGCTTCCTTTAAATACCAATATTCGACTTGCGTACTCAAATGGAAAAGATGATGAACAGAACTTTATTCAAAATCTCAGTTTGTTTCTTTGCACCTTTCTTAAAGAACATGATCAACTTATAGAAAAAAGATTAAATCTCAGGGAAACTCTAATGGAGGTAAGCTTTGTGGAGCCTTTGCTCCTAAAATTCTGTTCTACCTACTAATGCTCTTAAAAGTGTTGTCTTTTGGCTATGGGTGGTAGCTCACGCTTGTAATCCCAGCATTTTTGGCAGCCGAGGCAGGTGGATCATGAGGTCAGCAGTTAAAGACCAGACTGGCCAACATGGTGAAACTTCATCTCTACTAAAAAATACAAAAATTAGCTAGGCATGGTCGCTTGTGCCTGTAATCCCAGCTACTTGGGAGACTGAGGTAGGAGAATTGCTTGACCCCAGAAGGTGGAGGTTGCATTGGGCCAAGATCCTGCTACTGTACTGCAGCCTGGGCAACAGAGCAAGACTCTGTCTGAAGAGAAAAAATACGTACATATGATAGAAATATATATATATGTGTGTGTGTGTATGTATACATGTATATGCATACACACACATTATATGTATATAAATATGCACACACAAAATTCAGTGGCATTTCAGTATATATACAATGTTGTGCAACCATTAATACCTAGATCCAAAACATTGTGATTACCCAAAGGTGACCCTTTACTCATGAAACAGTCACTTCCTTCTTTGTTCTCTTTCCCAATCATTAGTTTGGGTTCTGTCTCTGTATATGTATCTATTCTGATTATACCATATGAAAGGAATCATACATGTAACATTTTATGTCTAGTTTCTTTGATTTGACATCATGTTTTCAGTGTTCTTCCATGCTGTAACCTGTATCAGTACTTCACTTTACATTGTGGCTGAAGAACATTTTTATTGTGTGAATATTCTATATTTTGTTTGTTCTCTCATCTATGATGGTACATTTGGGTTGTTGATACTTCTTGCCTATTGGCACCCAAGGCCTTTAAAATGTCCATTAGGAGACATGATAAAAACTTTGAAGTATTTTAGGGCATGTCAGAAGAAGCAGAGTAACTCCTCCAGAGTTTACAGTCTATTTAATAAGTATTGAAATCTGAGATGTGATGAGTAAAACATGAATTTTTATATTACCTTAAATGTTACAAGTGAAAAGCAGTTTTAAGTTGGTAATGTTTAAGGATTATTTTAATAGCTTTGGTCTTCTTTGTAGGCCCTTCATTATATGTTGTTGGTATCCGAAGTAGAAGAAACTGAAATCTTTAAAATTTGTCTTGAATACTGGAATCACTTGGCTGCTGAACTCTATAGAGAGAGTCCATTCTCTACATCTGCCTCTCCATTGCTCTCTGGAAGTCAACATTTTGATGTTCCTCCCAGGAGACAGCTATATTTGCCCATGTTATTTAAGGTAACAGAGCGGTTGGTTGAGTGTTGTTGTTGCTTACTGTAGTTTTGAGGTCTGAATGCAAATACTTGTAATCTATCTACAAAAAGAGAACCCAACAACTTCCCCAGGAGTGTGAAAAAAACTAGAACATGAAAGGAGTTCAGTCTAGAACCTCCTTGGTTCTCAAGAGTGTGGTCCTTCTGTCAGCATCAATATCACCTGTGATTTTGTTAGGTAAATTTGTTGGTCACCTGCCAATCCACTAAACCAGAGTCTGGGAATGAGACTCTGAATAGATGTCTAAGTGAATAGCTCCTGTAACGAAAGTTGTTTTTTTTGTTTTTTTTTGTTTTTTTTTTAAACAAATTCACATTAAAGTACACTTAAATAACTACAAAGCCATTTTTTAAATTACACTGAAAGAAATTTTTTTTGAGACAGAATTTCACTTTTGTTACCCAGGCTGGAGTGCAATGGCGCGATCTCGGCTCACCGCAACCTCTGCCTCCTGGGTTTAGGCAATTCTCCTGCCTCAGCCTCCTGAGTAGCTGGGATTACAGGCACGTGCCACCATGCCCAGCTAATTTTTTGTATTTTTAGTAGAGACAAGAGTTTCACCATGTTGACCAGGATGGTCTCGATCTTTTGACCTTGTGATCCACCCGCCTCAGCCTCCCAAAGTTCTGGGATTACAGGCTTGAACCACCGCACCAGGCCTAAAGTTTTTTTTTTTTGACACAGGGTCATGCTCTGTGGCTCAGGTTGGAGTACAGTGGCACAGTCATAGCTCACTACAATCTTAACACTCGAAGCAATTCTCTGTGTCAGCCTTCCAGGTAACTATGGTTGCAGGCACACACCACCATGCCCAGCTAACTTTAAATTTTGGTTTTTCCTTTTTTCTTTCTTTTTTTTTTTTTTTGAGACGGAGTTTTGCTCTTGTTACCCAGGCTGGAGTGCAATGGCGCGATCTCGGCTCACCG